TACGTTACATCACATAATGGGACACACGTCAGAGAAACATGGGCGTGATACCATTCGTCAGACGCGACACAACTAGTACACCGGGAAACCCAAAACATTGACCGATTCGTCGACCTGATCTGTCCGATTAGTCGAGGAGCTTATTCGGCTGATTTATCTTTGGAGGTGTCCTCGCGAAAGCGCAAGTTGACGGAAAGTATACAGGGATCCGGGACAGGTGGAACTAGTCCAGGACTCTCGGATGCAGATATCAAACCCCGCGCCTGTAAATCTGCCAGAGACCGGTGTGAAACGGTGGGTGGTTGGATTAGGAGGTAGAGGTCGAGGACTGGTCGACCACCTAGTCGGAAGCGCACCATGAACTATTGCATTTGATATCCAGTCCGATGAATGGAAACGGTGAAACCATATCCACGGTTGGCGCCATCTCTGGCCACGATGTACGCGAATGTAGGTATAATACCCCTCGGTGCTTCCGCCAAGTATGATAACCAAGTATTTACGGCTTCTCTTGCGAATTTCTGTAATTTACGAAGACACACCGGCCACGCGAGGACACAACTATGAGTCATTGTTATTTTTATTATTAGGCCTCCCGGACTCTTTCTGCCACCATTTTTCCGTTTCAGACGTGGTGGCTGTTGAAATGGTCGGTGGAAAACTTTTGGCAATACTTCGTCTCGATTGTCCGATAGTTTATAGAGAAAAAAGTTTGAGACTTTGAAATGTTTTGGAAATAATAATGACGCTACAAGTTTTCTGACGCCATTAGACAATTTATGGAAGTCTGACAGTCAGACATCTAGTTCATTTTTAGATTTTTATTTTTTAGTGTTTTTTTTTTGGAAATATCGAACAACTCACATTTATCGACAAATAATATTAATATGTAATTTATATGTGAAGTTGTGAGTGATACTTTCGCAAACAAAGACTATGGGGAAACACTTAACGCGACGATATGGTGATTAGAGGCATTACAGGTATGCTAATTTAATATTAAGAGAAAATTGTTTTGTATATGACTGCAATGGAAAACATGAAAAGTTTTGATAAATATGTACGTCACATAAAACTATAGTATAAAGGTTCTTTTAAAGTTTAGATCTATCCCATTTCCTTTACAAAATTATATTTAAAAATCAAAAAAGCTCAGAAACTGAGAATTGATATCACCTCAAAGTGATTTCCGCCGAAAAAATTGTTGCTTATACACTTCATTATGCTCTACGTAAATACATGTCTGTAAGTTCACAAAGTTTCATTAAAATGAGAATTTTTAGATTGTAGAACATTTCTTGTAATATTTTTTACAATGTAATTATTGCGAAAAAATGTCACCTCCCGAACTCGTAAGCCTGATCCGCCCTAATCGGTCGAACCTAACAATGTATAGTCGGTGGAACAAATATAGCAGGCTCGCAAAATCAACGAGGAGTCAAAGTGAACATGTTTCGAGTGTTCTAACAAGCGAATTGAGAGAAATATGAGAAGATGAAGAGCCGAACTCTCAGTCAGAGCCGTATTATGTATTCACAGCACCTGCACAGACTCTGTCGTCTTTAAAATTCTTCTAATGGTCTTCGTTTTCACCTGTATTCTGTTTCAATTTCTATTACTTTATCCGCTGCTTTCTTCCAATGATTACCGTTGATGGTGTTTACTTCATTCTGTATTAGTTCCACGTTTTCTCCGACCCTTAAGTTTCTTGACGCTGACAATGAGTCCAAGTCGAAACCTGACCTACATAGGCACTATCACTCGCGTTTTCTTTCACGTACACCTTGTAATTCTCTTCAAATGGTTCTTTATATCTGAAAAGAGCCCTCACCATTCTCTTACAATACAATATTTCTCTCAAGATGCCTGTGTTTTTTTAGTACGGATAGTGATAAGTCGAACTTTTGATTAGTAGAGTATGTATAGGTAAATTACACGCGTTAAACCATACAAAATTTATTATAAAATTTATTTTTACATATATTTTATATTTTGTATAAAATTTATATTTCTTAACGCATGTAATCTGCCTACACATACTTATATTATGAATATATCTTTTAACGAAATTGAAGTATATATTGTTAAATATAGCGTATTTGTCATTAGGGAAGGAAGTGATACAGAATCAAAATAAATAGCAACGTCAATTCGTGAAGTATTATTGCACATCAAATTGCTTCAAACATACATGTACGAAATAGGATTGATTGGAATTATTGGCTTGTATCAATTACGCGCACTATAAATATAATATTGATAGCATTGCCATACTCTTTGTGCGCTACTCCTATTGTCGGAAAGATACGAAATATTATTCGCGAGTAATATGAATGGTGCACGTATTTACAATGAATCGCTAGACTTTCACAATCAAGCCTATTGTAATTGGCAGATATATCTCTTGTGACAAAACACCATCGTTCTCAGATATACTAAATAATAGCAAACATGTATCGTTAATATTTTAAACTAGATGTTACTTCTATACTAAATAAGAAATGGAATAAAGATGAAGTGTATAAAAATAAATAACAGTATATTTGTAATATTCATATTAAAGAGTATAATGTGTTTTAATTTAAGAAATAAGATTATTGTTATTAAAATAGAGAAACAAAAGAAATGATTTTAAAGTCCTGGAGCAACAGATTCATGTTTTATCACCTAAGTATTACACATAGATATACTATACGATGCGTCATGTGCATACAATTTTAATCTCGAACCCTACTTGCAATTAGAATGAGTACATTTTATCGGTACTAATGTTCTTTCCATATAACGATTTCTTTCTTGACACTTTTTATTAAAATTTTTCTTATTTTTTTCTGAGTTTAATGAATTCTTTACCTTGCTTGATTTCTGATTTTCTGATTTTTGAGTTTTATTTGAGGCTCGCCTTTTATTCTCACACGAGTACCAAATACTCCCGCTGTCCCAAAATAAGTGCCACATTTGCACATTTTTGTTTCGAATATTAATAGTCTTTTTTAAATTTTGAAGTGAACTGTACCAACGAGGACAACATTTGTTAACGGTATAAGGTAACCTAAGAATGTAACTCTATCGATTTTTTTTTATTATTAACAAAGGTTGGTAAAGAATCGAAAAGAGGAACTCTTTTAAAAGTGCACCTATTATGATTTTAAAATTACGCAAAAGTTAAAAAAGATGGGTGCAATTTTTATATCAAGTAATCCTAAACCGCAAATGAAAAATAGGACTCGTATTTTTACTACAGTGCAGTGAAAATGAAAAACTCGGTTGCGTTCAAAGATTTGAAAAAAGAATTAATCGTGAAGCAATATTAAAAGCCAAACACTTTAATCTGCAATATTTAACCAAGGATGGATGACAAAATTTAAGTCTACATTTTTTATTTATTTTCATATAAGGAACCACCTCTTGACCGTTTGTACAATACTTTAGATCGCACCCTGCGAAAGGACTATTTAGATAAGTGTCCATCGCGCGGCTCTTCGAGCTCGGCGCACACGCCGCGGGCAAAAATCATAGGCGCGTTATTCTAAAAATTAAATGACCAAAAGATATCCCGTTGGATAAATATTTACCCAGCGAAACGGCAATTCCATTATCCTTCGCCTTTGAAGGCGAATACACACGCCGTGAACGAAAATATTGCTGGTACCAATACCAAAGCTGGTGTGCATATAAGCGTGGAAAATACGTGATCATATACTGGTAACCGTAGCACAAAGGGGCAAGCCGGAAATACAGATGTGCGTGCGGATAATTTAACGTCCACAGACGGAACAACTTCAATGCGAGTCGCGGTCTCCGGTGTGAATAGTTTTTTATATTTTTAGCCCTTTTTACATAGACGGATCACACTTTCTTAACAGCTTGATTTACTCGAGGTCAACGGCGACTATGTTTTTGTGACGGCGCTAGTGGGCACGTGCGCGCGCAGCCTTTTCACATTTTCATTTTCCGCCCCTCTTCTTTTTTACCGTTTCTTTGCCGACCGGTGTCAAAGTACAGCCAGCAAGGAGAATGTTTGTGTTCCTCTTTTCTTGTCGTTTTTTTTAGGCCAGGAGCGTGCCGGAAGTTCTTTCGATGGGAGTACGATCTCCTGGGTCATTTTAAGGCGGCAATTTTGAAATTAGCGCTTGTGAAAACAAGTATAGCGAACGGTCGAAGGATGTATGAAGATGTAATGGATGTTTCTGGGGTTACTTTGAAATTACCGACAAACTGCTCATCGACACTGTTTTATCGATACCCACTTTCGTCGATACTGTGTATGAAAAATAACGAGGCGAATAATAACATGATGTCACACTTGTACCGCGACTTTGTTAATCAGTATAAGTTGTGTAAATCAATAAATAAATGTCAGGGAAACAATTGCCAGTGATTTCAACGTGTCGGTCAAAGTTAGTCTTGATGAAATAGTGTCCGTGAGAGCATTATCGGTGAAATGTTTGTCACTGATTTCAGAATAACCTAAGTTTCAATATACAGGGTGGACAAAAAGAAGTACGTTACGCTGCTTATCATATTTATCTTTTTGTAAAGATAAATGAAAAAAGTTATGAAGTTCCATTTAAAAACCAAAGGTGACCTCGATAACTTTGAAAAAAATGACTGCATTTATTGCAATCAGCTTGTAAGCTCTCTAAACCAAGGAATTTGAAACAAAAAGAATTCGTAGTGATCCAGTAATAACAGAAATAATTAAACTGATCAAGTTACTCAATTAATAGATAATTTAGATGTACACATTATATTAAATTATAATAATTAATATGTACTGGTTAAATTATAAATTTGTGAGTTCCGTCAGAATCCCTGAAAATAAAGATTTCAATGTTTTTTTAATTTTCAATTCTATTTAAATAAAGTAACTACATAAAATAAATATCCTTATATAAAATTTTTGAAATGAAATAAAAAATTGGAAATATAGTTGCTTTTCTCATTTAGGTTTTTGTTAGTTCTTGTATATTACAAGGAAAATTTTCAATTTATTGCAGATAGCATGGCTGCGTGTAGATACCCAAACGATATTGACGATAGCTACTCACGTTATCACGAAGAACCACCGAATAGCCGTTTCTCACAGCGATCATCGCACATGGTTTCTCCACATACGAGAAGTAAAAAAATCTGACATGGGATGGTACATGTGTCAAATTAATACGGATCCAATGAAAAGTCAAATCGGCTACCTCGAAGTTGTCGGTAAGTACTACCTGAACTTTTCCAAATATTTTTCACTTTCGTGGAATAGTAGAATTTACTATAATTTCTTTAGATCATAATCCTCTTGAAATGTCGTGCCACATTGATTGGTAAAATTTTCAAGTAAATACAATTTTTTAATTTTCTAAATTATTTTTACTTTTATTGCTACAACTTATTTCTACATTTCTTACTGTCGCTTACTTATTTTTAGTATCAAGCAGAGTAACTTTAAGGAAAATTTGATTATGTAAATACTATTTGAAAGATATTATTCCGTCCTTAGACGGTCATAAATTAAGTCATTTGCCATCTTGGCGCCAAAGTTCTCGCCTTGGAATGCAATTTTATAATCGACACAAAGTGTTGGAAGACTCAGAGCCTAACTTTCCCTTAGTTTGGAAAATGTCACTGGCTTTCCACGTTACGCAAGGTCCGTGGTGACCATCTCTACTCTCATGTTGAAGATCGGCTAGTTCTAAGCTACGGGAGGAAGGATTGCCCTTGGTGGCGCCCAATCGAAGTTCATATCACAGACTCAATAAGAGGACAATTTTTCACTAAACCAGGAGAGTCGTGAAAAATTCGTTAGACAAACCTGTACCTAAAGAAACGTCAAATAGTTGTAAAGTTCTGTTTACTAAATTTTTGTCAATGGAACAAGAAGAGTGATAACGTTTTCTACATCATAGAAAAGGCAAATGTTATGAATTCCATTCAATACGAAATGAAAACCTCACGAACTTATGAACCAACCTAATACCTAACTTCCACTAGCCAACTACGAGGGCAGGTATCACTGCACCACTTCCAAGAACAAACTCGCTAAGGACGTTAGAATAGGGCGGTGAGGACACGATGACTGATGATTGGTCAAGGGCCTCGAGAGAGATTCACCTATCGTGCTCGTTAAAAATAATATAAAAAAATAAAAAATAAAATAATTGTGACTCAAGGAATCTGTAAAACCTCAGATCAGCTTCTAGTCAACTATCGAGAGAAAAAGAGTCGCCAAAAATCATAGCACACTGTTACGTCTCAATTGTATTAAGTTATCCTGAACGTTAAGTTATCCACTTTTGCCAACGTATTACAAGAGTATTAATTCTGTACATATAAAAATCTGAATCTTTAAGAAAGAAAGACAGAAATGAATCTCGTCGATATAAACCTATTTAGTTTACATCCGAAGAAACATCAGTATTGTATCACATCAGGAATAAATTGTAAAGTCACGAGAAAATACGAACATACTACTTTTCAACCACGCTTGAGTGATTAATTTCACAGTAGCCAGCGTTTCGATACATTGTCGCAAACAAGTATAAGTGGGATTTACGACCCGGTAAAATTCTCCGAACGAATTCCAATATACAGAACGCAACACACACTATAGCTTTATATTTTCTTTTTAGC